AACTAGAGAAAATCGACAAATGACCCATGACAGAAAACTCGAGAAAATCGACGAATGACAATTCCAAGAAAATCATCAAAATCACGGGAAGATCCCGGAAAAAGGACCGCAAGTGCTTTGCCCAAAAATTCCAATAAAACATACAAAAAATCTGAAAAGAGGGGACCGCAAACACTCGGGTCGGGTCTAGGCTCAAATATAATATATTTGTACTCGAGGGACGTCGAAGGCTACTATCAGTCATCCGGATGTATAGAGTCTGCCACTCAACTAGAACAATGTTCTACTAAACCTAACTTAGGATGGTACTCCTTAGCCCAGTATCGGTAATCAACAAGTGAACAATCAAGTTGTAATATATTTAAAATTTATATTTTAGCATGCACATGAGTTTCAGTCATACAAAAAGGAAGTTGTATCGATTTTGTAGTGAAAATATTTTTATAAATAGTGTATTTGTTCTTAGCATGTATGTTCTTATCAATTTTGAAAAAGTATAGTTGTGCACGAGTCGATCACGTCGTCGGACATAGGACTGCCAACAAATCTAAGAAGGTATGGGTCTCCCGCTAGTTTTGTGTCGGTGAATGATATTATCATCTTACGGTTCATTGGGCCCCTGGATTGAGTCCTGATGTCGTAGGATAAAATATCATCTCGCTCTACCACCAGTGTGCTTTTGTCATCATCGTCCTAAGCCCCAAAACAAAATCGATCTACTTTGTAAATAGCTTGATGGTTTCACATATTGCAAAAGACTATACATGCATTTCATGCTTAAGAAATTTTTCATGCTTAAGAAATTAAACCTTCCAGCAACCCAACAAAGACATCAAGAAGAAGAACAGATATCGAGCAGCCAAGCCAAAATACAGAGTAACCAAGCGAGCAGAAAGGGACCTTCCAAGAATACCACAACAAATGCACACAACCAGTGAAGATCCAGCCAACCCAGAAATTTTTTTTTTTGACAGCACCTCCCCACTCTCCAGAATTTCAACAAACCCAAAACCCTCCCCAGTGGGGTTTATATAGGGAAGAAGAGGGAGGAGGAAGAATACCTATACTTACCTGAGGGGTGAGCTGAACATCAAAAGGACGGGCGAGTGGCGACAAGAATCGCAGAGCAGGGAGCGTGGCGGGTGGAAGGCTGAAAGCGCGGCAGGGAGCAGGTGAAGACAGAGGCGTCGCGACAGCGAGGAGCTTTTAAGCAGAGTGGCAAAGAGGAGGGGACCTCGAGTCGAAGACGCGTGAAGAAGAGGGTCTCGGCTGGGAAAAATACGGCCCAAGGGTTCGGGCGCGGCAGCTTGCGGGAGATGAAGGGGATCGGGTTCAGCTAGGGTTTCGCCCGGGAAGTAGAGGCGAGATGGGAGAAAATGAGGGTTGCGTGCGTGAGGCGTGAAACGTGAGTTTAGTTTTAGGGATTTGGGATTTAATTAGGTTTTCTTTGTTTTTAATCATTTTAAAAAAACATCAAATTTCGTGCAAGTTATTCATGAGCGGCGCCCTAGCAAAATGGGTGTCCTCCCTAGGTAATTTCAACATTCCGGACGCACCAGCGTGGTCTGTTTTGACATCCGGAATCGTCGGGACAACTTCATCGACGGTCGAGTAAAAAAAAAGTCGAATTCAATTTTATTAAAATTTCGAGTCTGCGATCGATCATTTCAACAATTTATTTAAGCTTTCAACGAATAACGGCGCAGACGGTGCGAATTGTTGAAAACGAAAGTGTCGATTCTCTAAATTGTGAAAATTGTGCGCGCGAAGGTGCAAATTATGCATAAGGTCATCCTAGGGCTTAATGATCCCATAGGAACTCCTTTTGGGTTTCCTCATGTTAGTTTCAACCATCAAGTGCTAGAGGCCGATACCACACATGCGAAACTCCAAAAGAGTAAGAGTAAAGAAGCAGTAAAGAAGCAGGTTGAATTTCTAAAATGAGACGGGTCTCATTTCTAAGGCTCTAAGATACTCAAAGGGAGAACCCTAAGGCTAGACCCTAAACCATAAGAAGAAAACTAGACCTCACTAAAAATGAGGTTAACACCGCCCCGATAATAACTCAAATTTCTTCATATACTCCATGATAGTCTCCTCTTGAGTCAAAGCAACTAATAGCTCGTGCAGTCTCCTTCTTGGATGGCTTGGAAATGTTTCAATAAGCAAACCTTAAACTCCTTCCATGAGTGAATCGAATATCTAGTCTCCCTCCACTGAAACTATGCTAGGTCGTTCCCCTCTAAACACAACCCTGCAGCCATAAGCTTCTCCCCATTTAGCACTTTCACTGTGAAATATTGCTCTACCCGATAAACCCAACCCCAACTTCGCAACCCTAGGATCTCCACCCAAAAAATTCTTTCGATCAAAGTCATACCACATCCCAACTTCTCTCTAAAAATGATTTTTCTTCTTCCCCCCCCCCCCCCCCCCAAAAAAAAATAAATAAAAATCCTAGTAGGAGGTTCTTTATAATGGATGTTTTCATCCTCGTGTTCCTCTCGTTCAATCTCTTCCCTTCAGACTTGGCAAAGGATTTTCCGGTCAAACCTTAGTTAGTGTTTACAACTTGAACTACATAAAAGATTTTGGATTGAATCTCAATAAGCCTCCTCATTATTTCCTCCAAGACCTCAAATTAGTTTTCCATGGATACAAGTCTTCCTTCTATGGTTGAGAACCTTTCATCCAACCCATATTTAATTTGCCCTAATTCTCCTTTCAATCTCTCTTCAAAAGCATCAACTTTCTTAGTTGTCATCCCTCCAAGATTGCTCTGATACCAATTTGATGCGAATAAGAACCAAAATAAGTGAATAAATTACAAGAAATATGTTGAAAAACCAAATTATGGCCAATTTCATTAATCTTCAAGCAAATAAACAAGATAGAATGGGAGATCTACAATCCAAGAGGTAGATAGACTCTCCACAAATCCTAGACGCCTCTAGAAACAAGAAGACAAAAAGAAAACTGCATAATCAAAACATAAAAGGAAACCCTTGGTGATTAGCCATAATAAAATACCACCAAAAAATATTCCAACATTCCCCCCAAAAAAAAAACAAAACCCCCCCCCCCCCCCCAAAGCTCCTACTTAATTCTTCTCCCTGCATATGTGATTAGGGGCTTAACAGACCCCACCCAGAGGCTTCAATCTTCCTAGGCAGAAATAGAGGTTTTCACTCCCCCAAGGCAGTCTGGTCGCGCCAGAAGAGACGTGAGTGACAGAAATTTCACCATCTAATGTAACAACTCTTGGAATGTTGTGAATGTGGTGGAGGCCATTAGAGTTGTAAATGAGCCTGAGCTCGCTTGGCTCGTGTTCGGCATGTTTGAAATTGCCGTATTCGAAATCGGCTCGTATTCGAAATTGGCTCACGAACAGTGTGTTCGTGTTCGACTCAATTTAAATATTCTTGTTCGTGTTTGGTTCGTGATCGGCTCGAAATTGACTCGTTAAAATTAATTAGAAAAAATATATGTATTGTGTTGGATTCGAACCTGCACCACTTTTATGCAAGAAAAAGTGCAAAATCACATGACCACACGAGCTGTTGTGATTTAAATTTAGATATAAATATATATAATATATTATTATATAAATAATATATAAAATTTCTGTATTTTGAGCTAAAACGAGCCGAACACAAACAAACAAAAGGTTGTTCAGGTTTGGCTGATTTTTAATTCGAGCTTAAAAATTTTGTTCATGTTCGTCTCGTTTACTTAAAGAACGAGCCGAGAACGAGTTGTTCGCGAACAATGAGCTTTTTTGACATCATTAGAGGCCATGCACAAGGATGGTAGCAATCAATTAACAATGTTTTCTTATCAAAAGTTGCGCAAACACACCCTTTCTCTAAATGTTCCATTTTATGAACCACCCAACCATTTATAGAAGTCTACCAACAACCGCTCAGTGAACATCATCAAGAGACGATATTAAATAAAAATAACATTATAGGCATGGTTTCAACCCATAATCTCTAAAAAACAAACTAAGCATATAATAACAGACAACCTAATCATAGAATCAATTCATGTTACACCATTGAAAACTAAAAAATGATTCAAAACTATTCACAAGCTCAAAAATGAACTTCAATAAGTTCAAATTGATTTTGATTCAACTAAATCAAAAAACAGAGTTTCTATATTAATTTTGGGCCTTAGCAAACCCAAATGGGTAACCTAACAAAGCACAACATTAATAAGGGTTAACCAAAGTCTAAATGGAGGGTCAAATTAAATGTGTTTAAATGAATTTGAGAAACCAATCGACAGCCAAAAGAGGAATTAAAAGAGAGAGTTTGAGAAAGCAAAACGTCGGAAAGGGAAGTTAAGAGAGCAAGAAAGGGGGAGAGGGAAGGCTAGAGATATTGACCGAAAGAATAGGTGCTGTGGAGAAATAATCTAATAGCTTTTATCAAATAATAACAATATAAGGCATTAACAATATAAAAAAACAATACATATATAAAATTATATTTGAAAGTATATGATTAAACATTTAGGCTTTACATGATGGGCCGCCTGGACACAATTAATCAGAGAGCAATGATGCAGATGAAAAATTATGTCAGCTATTTGTCAATCGTCAACCTTCTCATCCAACGTAAAAACCTCAGTGACGTTGTTAACATGGTCATATTTCACAAGTGTACGCAGGATCAGAGATATGCTCTATACACTTCAAAACAAAGCGCTCCGCAAAAATCATCTACACTTCCTTCTCCAGAGAAATAAAACAAAAAATAAACATCATAAAAACACTTAACATGATCTAAAAATTCAGGGAGAAATGTAATTTACTGATGCAACAATGGCCATGACAGAACAGGATCTACATTACAAAGAAGGAAAGAGAAAGAAGATAAAGCAACAGGAGAAAAAAAATTATTCCATATAACATTATCACTTTCTAGCATATGAAAAATGTCATAAGAATAGATCAATAGAATATGTATATATACACCCAAAGACTGTCATTATACCTGAATATTTGGGGCAAGTAAGCTGGGTTGATCAGCAAAAAATAGAACCATTCTTCCAATCTCTTGCTTAAGTAGTATTCTCCTTTCACGATGGATGCCATCACAGGATATAATAGCTTGCTCATGCACCTCACTGCAGTTCAGCTTGAATGAGATTAGTTCACCAAGCGCAACCACTAAATTTGGCACTAAACATCAAAAACATTCAAAGGAGTAAGCAAACAAAGCAAGCATCAACGTGAAATTCAACTTCTATTAAGTTAGAAAGAAGCCAAAAAAAATATGCCTAAGCTTATGTATACTATCAGGGATGTTCATTACTTCATTGTTTTGGAAACAAATATTATTATATTCTTCATTTTGCTTCTCAAAGAAATTTCATATAAATGAAAAAATGCTAACGATACACAAGCTTGATGGGAGCAGAATAAACTATCAAACCTAAATAGCATACATAAAAAAAGGAAGAATTACGTAAATGTCGTCAAAATTAAGTGTATTCTAACAAGGATGTTCATCACTTCATTGTGTTGAAAACAAATACTACTCTATTCTTCATATGGCTGCTCAAATAATTTCATATAAATGAAAGAATGGTAAAGGTACAAAATCTAGATGGTAGCAGAATAAGCTATCAAGGCTACATAGTATACATAATAAAAAAGGAGAATTAGGTATATGCCATCAAAATTAAGTGTATCTATAAATCTAACGCCAGTCCCAAAAAGATGAACAGCCCAGCCCATGTACTTGTGCATGGCCGTTGGAAATTTGATAGAAGTGATGAGTAGTTGCAAATTTTGATAGTTGGATGAGAATTTGTTGAATAGAATAGGAGAGTGGCAGTATAAAAAATGACAAGTTCGTTTTAATAGATAAATTGCTCCTAATAATCAGAAAAACGCCATAACAATATCTTCTGGGTTTTGTTGCGTGTGTGTGTGTGTGTGTGTGTGTTAAAACCTGTGGAAGGTTAGGAAGGAGGGCCGGCCTGCCACCTCATAGATCTTGGGGAATCTAATTGGAGAAACCTTTGGAAACCCCTTAATTAGTTTATTCTCTTCCTAATTATGTTTCTTTATTTTTATTTCAGAATTATTTCCTTTCCAAATTTAGATTAGATATTTTTATTGGTTTGTAAATTAGGAGAGAAGAGTTTCCCTATATATGTACCCAACATTTGAATAATGGAGCAAATAGTTTTTTCCTCCCAAAGTTTATTTTCTACATGGCATCAGAGTCGGCATCATCTCCCTCCACGAAAGCACTAACTCATACGACGGCTCCATCTCTCATATAAGCACGAGCAAAGACGACAGGCAACACAGGTCCATCTCTTCCACTCGAGGTCGTTGCGCAGTCTCCTCAAAAAAACGCATCGTCTGGTATCGTTTATGAAGGTGAAAGCTCTTGCACGTCATTTCCACATACGAACATGCCGCCTGACTTCCTCAAGCACGCCGTTTCCTCAGACTAACGCTCCGTTCGACTTCCTCCCACACATCGCTTCCACAGACAATTGCTCCATTAGACTTTGTTCCAACATCGTTTTCACAGACGATTGCTCCGTTCGACTTTGTTCCACACGTTGTTCCTTCCTTAGTTCGACTTCCACAGTTTTTCCTCTCGGAGCATTAAACAACTGAAAGAACTCCTCATCCTACCACTGGAAGTTCCTTCCTTGCATGCCCACATCTAATCCAGGCAACCAGATTTCTCCATGCTCTCATCTGCGCTTCAGGCAGCCGAATTTCTCCCTGCAGAAACTCTTCCTGCAGACCCCTCCCGGCAATTCCCTGCGGCAAGAAATTTACTTGTTGCAGGCCCTCCTCCTCTGGCAGAATCCTCCAACAGCAGCAACCAATTATCCAAGCAGTAGCCTAGCATCAAAAAACTCCCTGCCGTCACCCATTTCCCTGCAACCGACAACCTGCAGGCCCTCTTCCGGCTAGTCTCCTGCCTTCTTGAAAAGCAAACAGAGGTAGTAACTCACTGTAAGTAGCAGAGCTGCTCCTACTCGTAGATATTTTCAATGCTTCTAGTGGAAATCCTAAGCCTGTGAAAGGAGTTGGATTTTCACTCTTTATTGGAAATATGAAACCTGCAACCAAAAGTCGAGCCTCCTTGTAGACCATCCTCCATATTCTTGTCCGCCCTCCGGAACCCAGTTGCGCCCTTTCCCAAGATAACAAGGCAGTCGCAAGTAGCTCTTCTGAGCAAACAAACCTCTGGCTTTCCAGGTGTTCCTCCACTCTGTGATAAGAAGCAGCCAGAAATCTTGCAGCTTGCAGCGGTCAAGTATTCTTCCAGCCCTAAAAGTGCATACAGTTTACAATCAAGTACAGAATGGAGAAATCTAATTCCACTTAGGAGTCTACCAGGTTGGCAATACATGAAGGCAAGGCATCATATCCTCTTATCTTGCTAACAATAGAAGATTTCAACCTTGAATAATAGATTCAAGTGTTGTTGATCACATGACTGGAGACCTTCATGCTCTCATCAACCACTAAGAGATCACCAAACCTAAATTTTTTAGACTTTTCGATGGATCTTTGTTAGAAAAGAAAATATAAAAGTCTCCAAGGATATTCAGCTTTCTTAGTAATATAGATTCCCCAACTAGATTACAACTTACTTTCAATTAGCAAGCTTACTCGTGATTTTACTTATGTCACTAAATTCCATTCTAACTCTTCTGAATTTTATATGGTGGATTCGGGAAAGCTGATTAGCAGTGTTGAAATGCATCAAGGTCTCTACCTACTTGAGAACTATTCTTTTAACGCGCAAGTGTCTTCTCCATCATCCTCTTCTCATGATCACGAGTTTGATGTATCCGAGTTTGAGAAAGTCAAGTTTCATTATGGCATTGTCGTCCAGATCATCCCAATTTTCATTATAATAAAAATTTATATCCCAATCTCTTCACTAACAAAAACTCATGAGCTTTATCAATGTGAAACCTATCAAATGACTAAACATACTCTTCATATATATCATCTGTTTCAAACAAACTCTCATATTATTCCTCTATCATCCACAGCTACATTTGGGGACCAAATTGAAAACTATCAATGAAGTCAGATAATTGTATCCTTCATTGATGATAACACTAGAACCAATTGAATATTCCTCATAAAGGAGAAATTTGAAACTGCACATCTTTTAGTCTTTCATGAAATAATTTACCTCCATTTTCAATGCAAAATTCATATTCTCAAAATTAATAATGCAAAGGAATACTTCAACTTTATCCTTGAAACTTTGTAAAAAATTATATCATCCATGTAAGTTTTTGGGTTGAAATACCACAATAAAACAGGATAGTTGAGAGGAAGAATAAACATCTCCTTGAGAAATCTAGATCAATAATGTTTTTTCAGAATGTCCTAAATATTTTCTAGGGACAGTCACATATATCATTAATAAAATGTCAAGCAGAGCTCTTGGATTCAAAGCCACTCTTCATGCTACCCTCATGCTAAAGCCTTCTCATCTAATCTCCCTCTAAAAGTATTTAGTTGTGTCCCTTTTGTCCACAGTCACTAACAAAACCGCACAAAGTATGACCCAAAATCCATCAAATGTATCTTCATTGGACATACTTCTAATAAAAAGGGGTATAAGTGTTATTCTCTCATTACAAAAAATATATACAACTCAATGGATGTTACCTTCTTTGAACACTAACCCCACTATACCAAATCTCATATTCAAGGGGAGTTGGGACACTACTTTGAATACTCACACTAATCTAGAGTCATCGCAACCTATTACATTTCTCTACACTACTTTAGATACCCACACTGAACTAGAGTAAACACAACTTATTCCGCTTCCCTCTAAGCATCCTCTCTCCTAAGTTTTACCAGTTGAGAGCATCCAAGCTATGATTGACAACAAGGAACTCCGTGCATATACTATGAGAAAGAAATCCACTCAACATCATAAAGAGAATATGTAACCACAGTATTGTTCACAACCAAACCTGAATTCACACATTTCTAAAGTAGCAAGGGAGGTGGAATCCAGTGGAGAAGACAAGAAAAATTGCACAAATTATGCTATCCATAATTATATTGCATAAGAGAAGTTATCACCAACTTATAAAGATTTTGTATCAAATCTTAATAGCGTGCAGATACCCAAATCCGTTCATGAAGCACTTCAAAGTCCATAATAGAAAAAGTCAGTTGAAGAAGAGATCCAAACTCTTGACCTAATGGCACATGGACCTACTATAAAAGATTTTCAGAAACCACATAAAATTTTTGGCAACTTTAAAATGTACCACAAATTTCAAATCCCTCAATATTTCAACCGAATCAATTTAAAAAAAATTCACGCGCCAAAACGATTATATCGATATATAACATTATATATAAAGTATGAATGGAATGAAAAATAAAAAAAATGAAAGTTATAAATTTAATTAATTTAATTAAATCCTAATGATTCCTTAATCTCCTATATCTTACTGTTCACAATCGACTTCAACGTGATATTTAGTGTTGGTTTCGGTCGAAGGGCTAGCACCCTTTTCAAATCCTTGAACTCGGTTCCTCCCCTCTAATAATCTTCCTCTTCTCGCGAGTTCAGCGCAGGGGCCGTGATCCGCAAGCAGAGGAGGCGAGCAACCCTTCGAGTGTCGCAGCTCACAGTTTAGACTTCGGGGATGAAATCAATGAGTATGAAACCCTCTTTCACTTTATTTAAGACAATCTTTTCCTTCCTGTTTCCATTTTGAGATTATACACGAATCATGCATTTTTGTCATTTTCGTTCGCCATAGCAGAGACGAGGTTGCATCGAAAGCAATAAAATTTGTTTGTGAACTTCTAAAAGAGACTTAAGCGAGAAATCAACGAAGATAAAAAAAGAATAAAGTGATTAAAAGAAAAGAGAAGAAGAATAGACAGTTTCAATGAAGGTTGGGTTAAGTCGTGAAGGCCGTTTGATCATGTTTGGCTCGATTTGCCTCAGATTTACTAAATAATTAAATAAATAATATTTATCAAAACCTTTTTTATATTAACTTTCAATTTTTAATACAAAATGTTAAAATTAATATATTTTTTGAAACTTTCAAGCAAATTTTTGAGACGAACATGAGCCCCAAATGAACAGACT